AAGCTTGATATCACCCTCTTTTGTAGAATCGAGGTTCCATTCGATAGTGTACCCGGTAACGAGGCCGTGTGGTTCAGTTGGCAGTTGCCATGTCATCTTCACCGTGTGGTGGTCGATTGCTTCAAGTTGTACATCTTGTGGAACACTGAGATCTACACAGCACAGGAGGATGAAATTGGTCAGTTTTGATGGTAGGCAGATAAATCGCCGGTCATCTCACACCTCCACGTGTTCCCCTAACTATGCTCATAACAATGATGATGATGTGCATGAAAAGTTCAGCGCAAAGGTGAATGAAAGAAGGAGCCGCTACTGATTGCATGCAAGTAGATTAGAGAAGGCTGAAAAGAAGACAGACCTGCTTGAATCACTCTAAATACCAATGGATCAGCCAGCACGCTGAAATCGTTGGGCGTCGGTGTCACATGTCCACTCACTGTGACTGCATATTCCTTTGAAGGGTGCAGTCCCACAAGTTGATATTCCCGCTCCTCAGCAGTAAGGTTGGCCACTGACTGCCACAAGCTTTGCAAGTGCGAACCACCAGTCGCCATTAAGATCTCAAAACCAGTGAATATGCCTTAAACACCTTTGGGACCGTGTACCACAATGTCCAATTCTTCAATTTCTTCGTGGTAAGTAGCCGCAAACACCGGTTTCTGTGTGACTGTAACAGAAGGTAAGAGGTGCATAGGCAAGTGCAAACGTTGCAAAACAAGGAAATTTGCATTTCCCCCATCTATTTCGGCATGTCGTTTGGTACGCAGAAAGACGAAAGCATCTGTTTATGGTTCGTATACTAGAACATAAATGTAACTATTTTGTGCACTGTGGATTCCATCCACTTCTACTTTGCATAAATCAGTATTGCATCACAGCATACTCTACACAAAATTGATGAAAAAGACTAACATTCTTGAAGATGCTGTGTGGACACGGTCTTGATTTCACTGAAGAAGCCGATGTATTCAAATTTCACAGAAGCCGACGGTTGAGTGTTTGTACAAACAGATGCAAAAATGGTTTGTCCGTGTTGCAGTTGGGTGAAAACATGAAAATGAACTGGGGGGCGGTGGGTACGCTCCTGTCTGCTCATATCATCACCCCATTCAATGGTGTAGCCAGTGAGGTGACCGTTGGAACTAACCGGGGCACCCCATGTCATGAGCACTGCGTTGGGGTTGACTGCTTCCAGTTTCACGTTCTGCGGAACAATAAGATCTGCAAGAAGTAGAGTGCAAATATATGTTGAAGTTGTCAAGCGTAAGATGAATCCTCGTGTATTCCCATGTGAATGAGGATGGATGTGATCAAGTGCGGCATAAATTAGAATGAAGACAAAGGCAGCTACTGGCTGCACGCAGGCGTACTAGCAGCAGTTGGAAAGGAGACAGACCTGCGTGTATTACTTCAAACACCAGTGGGTCGGCCATCACGCTGAAACTGTGGGGCAATACGTGTCCACGCACTGTGACTGAATACGTAAGCAGGGGAAGTAGCTTCTCCATTCGGTATTCCTGCGCGCCAGCAGTGAGTTTGGCCGCGGATTTCCAGGCATTCGGTGAGTCGGGAGGGCCAGTCTTCGTTAGAATTTCAAAGCCACCAAACTCTCCCACGACGTCCTCAGGATCGTGCACCACTATGCACAAATCGCGAATGTCTTCGTGGTAAGTTGCTTCAAATGTCGGTTTTCGCATGCCTGTAAGAGTAGACAAGGGGTGTTTAGACAAGAACAATTACTCCAAAAGAAAGTTATTCCCCTGCGCGCATTCTGTAAGAGGTGGAATAAACGAACAGTCGTCAAAGCCTTCACTAGGAGACTATAAAGCCTAATATCTGGCTCATCATATCGAGTTCAGTTGCTCACTCTTAACACCAACTACTTTCAAATCACAACACTGCCTTGATAAAAAGCGTGACAGAACTAACATCCCAAAGTGGTGTAGTTACTGCCTTGGATTCACTGAAGGAACCGATGTACTCCAATTTCACCGACGTCGACACTTGACAGTGAGCAGAAATGGAGGCAGAAATGGTTTGTCCCGGCTTCAAATCCGTGAAGGTGTAGGAATGGCCTGAGGGGAGGTGGATACTCCTCTGCTTCCTGTTATCGAGAAGCCATTCAATGTTGTAGCCGGTAATGCAGTCGTTGGATGGGGCTGGCGAATCCCATGTCAGGAGCACCGTGAATGAGTCGATTGCATCAAGTTTCACATTCGGGGAACACTAAGACCTACAGGGTAAGAATGAGCAGATTCGACATCATTGCTGTTGTGTGGGAGAGGAGCCCTCGTGCATGCCCACGTTTTTCCCACTTTCCCCTTGTGGATATCCATGAAGGCAAAAATGTCAAGCATGAAGTGGAATGAAAGAGAAGCATCTGCTGATTGCATGTAAGTGTACTGGCAGTAATTGGAGAGTGGACAGACCTGCATGTGTTACTTCAAACACTAATGGGTCAGCCATCACGCTGAAAATGTCGGGCGATACGCGTCCACGCGCCGTGACTGTATACGTAAGTAGGGGAAGAAATCCGCCTATTTGGTAGTCCCGCTGATTAGCAGTGAGGTTGGCCACGGATTGCCAGGCATTTAGTGGGTTGGGAGGGCCATTCTTCGTTACAATTTCAAAGCCACCAAACTCTCTAATGACGCCCTCAGGATTGTGCATCACTACGCGCAAATCGCCAATGTCTTAGTAGTACGTTGCTTCAAATGCTGGCTTTCGCATGCCTGTAACAGTGGACGAGAGGTGCTCTGACATGGACAGCCACTCGAAAACCAAGTGATTCGCATTCCATGCATCAACCCTCATTGGGAAGGAGGGCAAATGCATCTGTGTCCATGGTTTGTAGATGAAGTGATACGTTTATATGCTTGACACCTTCTATACATCTCAAATTCCCTGTTACACTGATCCGTTGTAAGACATGTCACAGCTTTTTAGAAAATAAGTAGGAAGCACTCACCTTGCATTGTTGGTGGTATGGTGAATTGCAGGAAATCACTGCGGGCACCGATGTAATCAAATTTCACCAAAGCATCCGGTTGATTGTGCGCACAAATGGAAACGGTAATGGATTGTCCCGGCGTTAAATTGGTGAATTCGTGGAAATTGAGTGAGGCGAGCTTGATATTTTCCTGCAGCACGCCATTCAGATATCATTCGATGATGTGGCCAGTGATGAGGCCGTAGACCTTCTTTGGCACATCCCATGTCATCCGCACTGTGTAAGGCTCGACGGCTTCCAGTTTTACATTCTGGGGAAGGCTGAGATCTACACAAAGGAGAGTGAGCCTATTGGTCAGTAGTGTTGAGAGGGTGATGGATCCTCGTGCATTTTCATGAAAAGGGCGATTGGTGTGGAGTAGCCAGCATAGAAGTGAAGGAGTGCAAAGCAACTACCAAGTGCTTACAAGTAGAGTGGTGGCGAGTGACAAGAGGACAGACCTGCATTCATTGTCTCAAATACCAGCGGGTCAGCCATGTCGCTGAAACTGTTGGGCAGCATGCGTCCACGCACTGTGACTGTATATGTCGTGGATGTTTCTACTCCCTCCAATTCATATTTTCGCACGTCAGCAGTCAGGTTGGCCACTGATCGCCACGTAGTTTGTACACCGGAAGTGCCAGTTTTCATTAAGACCTCGGAACCACCGAACTTCCCCTCCACCACCTCAGGTTCGTGTAGCACTATGTCCAATATCTCAATGTCTTAGTTGTAAGTTGCCTCAAATGTCGGTTTTCGCATGCCTGCAACAGCAGACAAGAGGTGATTACACAAGTTCCACCAATACATAATGAAGCCATTCTTACTTTCGTGCATCGAATGTAGCATTGTCTATCATTCTTAAAGTAGTCGCTTGTGCAAGGGGTTAGGTTTCAAATAAGGAACAATGAAATGTGGTTTGCTGCGCATTATATTTAGTTTTGTCTATCCGTCGCAATCGTGCTGGAATTCACAACGAACTTGTATCTCGGTATTGAATGGCACAACGCAGAGAGACCTGCAAGTTCCCCATCTGCAGATACCCCTTTCTCCCCCTCATCACCAAATTCAGAGCGGATGTTTGGGCACAGGTGTGAAATGTGAAGGAAGCAATAAACGATGTATTTCACATTCAGTTTCATCAAATCTTAGACATTCTAGGTGAAGTGGAGTAAGTCAGAGCCCATACGACTCAAATGTACGTACGACGCGAGCGGTGATGCCTCCGTCCTTGCCTCTTCAATGCACCTAGAAGGGAAAGAAGGTGAGTTAGTCAGCAATGCCGTTTTGAATAGATGCGAGTGTGTGGGGAGTCTGATGACAGGAGACATCAGATGTCCAAAGTCGAGTATGACGCTGGTAAAGCT